TCGGCTTATACATTTTTCAATATAGATTTATGAAAAATTCAATAGAAATGTAATAGTTTTGAACGATGTCAGCAACAGGCTAATTGTGTTTTGCCCAAAGATGCAGAATACACGTGCTAGCGGCGACCATCATGTTCAGTCACAATGACTATAAACGGTCAAACGTCAGTCGACATTTTGTCATACGTCTGTCACCTTATTGGAAATGTTACTGACTACATCGCCACAGGACGTCTTGAAGCTAGGGGGTCTCAGTCTGCAGATGCACGTCAACATACAGAGGAGTAAATGGGATCGGTAGAAAGGCTTACTTACGTCCGAGAACTGGCAGACAAAAGTATCAACTAGTTTGAGGAGGATATCGTACTAAACAACCAGGATTAGTCTGCTTGGGGTTGGAATCAGATCCAAAAGACCTGTATTTGTCCCTGTATGGTGACGTTTGCATTGATGACAACGCGTGCGATGGAACAACATCGTACAGGCAGAAAATGAGAAACTGGCGGCGAATCTGTGTCAGTGCTTCATCACAATTTCCGTAGTTTCCATGATAGAAATGTGCGTTGTTCGTACGCACGTTTGGTTTCTAGAGCGAACCTCAAACAATATGTACAAATGTCAGTTGAGTCATGCCTCGGTGCCTTTGCCGTTTAGGAACATCTTTGTGTGCTTTCAATTGTTCGTTTTCTTGACAACAAACTGTCTCAAATGAGGGTGTTCAATATTTCATGATGAACCCTTTGTACTTATACAGGTCTCCATAAACTTCGGCGATCGGAGGCTTTGCAGCCTGAAGTTGAGCCAGGCACTCATCAGAACATACTGTGGGGCATAGATAGATCGTCTTTATTTCCTCCAAAATTGAAGATACATATGCATGATTTAGCAGATATTACATTTTACAAGGTACAAGTGTATGAAAGTTATACAATACAAAAACATTTAAAGATATGTATATATGGGGGGGATGTAAATCTAGTAACATGTGATGAAAAACCGTTTCCATTCATGAACAGCTTTACTCGTGATTTTCATACATTGAATCCATAGATCAGTATCAAGATCTCTAATGTTGTCATTTGGCACTCCTCCAAGTAGAAAACTAATCAGTGCATCATCATCATCATTCCAAACACTTACAAAGGTTGTAACATCCAATAGATCAATGAGGGAGCTAAGTAGTCGCTCTCTGTTACATTCCGTTTGTGGACAAAAGAGAAATACATGTTTTACAACGTCATAGGCATATGTGCCACATAAGCATTCTTTAGATTGTATAGCGAAAGTGCCGACACGGATAAGGTAGGATATGTCATAGAAATAATCTGAATCATTAAGAGCTATTAACCAAAGTTTGTTACTAGCAGCTGGATTGCGTAGGAGAGCGTATCTGTGGAGATTGACTCTGTAGTTAAGCTCAGAGGTAACGACATTTGCTTCAAATTTTGAGACTTTATCTCTTACAAGATTTGACCATTGATTTTTGGTAACAAATACAGATGAGTTACGATAAATGTCAACATATTCAGTAAGATCATATTTACAGGTAAGATATAACATATGGTGTAAAGGAGAGGATTTACACTTCAGCATTTTTTTGCATACTATCCTTACAATCATGTTGAGCTAATCTATAGTGAAGAATTCGTTTGAAAATGAAACTAATATCAGTGTTAAGCAGTCTTCCCAGGAACAATAATGCTCTCTGATCAATATACGCACGTAGTGATACAAGTCCAAGACAGTCTCTGGCAATGACCGAGCACGTGCGTTTAGAGAACCCTTGTACTTTTTTTACAGAAGTACTTTTGCACACATTCAAGCATATCGTATTCTTTAGTTGATATGTTACACCACATATTACAGGCAAATAGACCACAGGGTAGTACAATACGTTCCCATATGCGTACAGCATGCATAGGGTGAAGACCACCAAAATACAATCCATGACTGTGGTTAACATTGACTAGCTTTCTAAGCTTTTCACATATTAAAACAGTACGATTAAGGGTAGATTTAGCGGTGTTTATGTACAGGCCCGCATATACGACATCGGTTTTGCGGTTAATAACATGATCACCCAAAATAGCTCTGGGCATTCGTGTTTATGATAATCACCAAACAGAAGGAAGGCACTTTTACTAGCATTAAACCTAAGGTGCCATGTTTTGCATAATCAGATATAACATTCAATAAACATTGAAGACCATCGGGTGTACAACTTAATAGGGTTGTATCATCTGCAAGTAGGATACCAGGGGTAGTGGCCCAGGGCAGGTTTAAGCCTCTTCCTGAATTATCAGCAGCATTTAACAGATCGTTAATGTACAGTGTAAACAACCAAGCCGATAGGACCCGTCCTTGCCCAACACCCTGACGTATTTCAAAGGTATCCGAAATATGTCCGCCAATGCTAATACGTGATTTCATTGATGAAGAAAGTATGTATAAAAGTCTCCACATTTTACCTTTAATTCCAAAGTTGTGCAGTTTTAGGAAAAAAGACCATTAAGCCAAACCCGGTCGAATGCTTTTTCATTATCGACAAATGCACAGTATACTGGCGTTTCTCTTTCATTGTAGTAAGCAACGCGTGCGATGGAACAACATCGTACAGGCAGACTCTGAGATACTGGCGGCGAGTCTAGGTCAGTGCTTCATCACAATTTCCGTAGTTTCCATGATAGAAATGTGCGTTGTTCGTACGCACGTTTGGTTTCTAGAGCGAACCTCAAACAATATGTACAAATGTCAGTTGAGTCATGCCTCGGTGCCTTTTGCCGTTTAGGAACATCTTTGAGTGCTTTCAATTGTTCGTTTTCTTGACAACAAACTGTCTCAAATGAGGGTGTTCAATATTTCATGATGAACCTTTGTACTTATACAGGTCTCCATACACTTCGGCGATCGGAGGCTTTGCAGCCTGAAGTGTGGCCGAGCCAGGCACTCATCAGAACATACTGTGGGGCATATGAGCATTTCTTAATGATAGATGAAAGATGTATGCCCTTGCTCCCACAACAAGCGTCCAGAAATGTTTCTCTATATATGCTTGTCTTATCTATGCTATTCTTGAAGGTTCCAGATCATTCGTGACCCAAAACGTCAAGGAATAGCAACTTGCACTACCACTGAGTCAGTGAATAGAATTACATCTATGATTTACAAACCGACAGTTCCATGTAACACCGTTGGTAGGTGGCATAGTCTAGTGGTTAAAGCGTTCACTCGTCACTCCAAAGACCCGGGTTTGATCCCCTTTAAAGCCAATTTCTGGTGTCCCCGCCGTGGTATTACTGGAATATTGCTACAGTAAAACCATTCTCCCCGCCACACACACACACACACACACACAAAACCATATAACACCGCAAACTCTAAGATCATTTATCTAGAATTACATCTATGATTTACATTACTTACACTTTCATATAACACCGAGGGTTTGTGGTCTAGTCAAGTGCTTAAAGCGTTCGCTCAGCACGCCAAAGAGCCTGTTCGATTCATCTACAATGTGTGAAGCCCATGTCTGGTGGCATCGCCTCGGTATTGCTGGAATATTGTTAAAAGCGGCCTAAGACCATTCTCACTCACTCACTCACCATGTAACATGGATGGGATCACATGACCTTATATATCACTGTAACTACGGTGACGTGTAAACCAGTTCGTGTTTTATGAATATGAAAACGTTGAAAACTTGTAACACCACTTTTCATAAAAGTAGAATAAGTGTGAGTCATGCAGATATGACGTCAGACTTACTGTGGCAATGGTGGTAATGCTTCGACAGTTATCAGCCGCGAGACAACGTTGAAATGATGTAACAGTATGTAACTGCAAGTCATGGTTGGTATTTGTTCATTCTCATTCTTCTGAAGAATTGTCAAGCAACAGACACACCATTCTTACACATGTTGTAATATTTTCATATTCCTTTTCTCGCCATAGAGAATGGTACTTGGAAACATCAAATTCAGTGATTTAGAAACGCAAAACTTCGAGGAATATGAGATATTTTCGCTTGAACTTTGAGACACCCATTGTATATCAATTACAAATAAAAGAATTTTACTCAAAAAAGATCTAAAGAAAGTCTGCCTCTAGAAACAAGATAGTTGTGACATGCAGTTGCTGGTCTGTGTTGTGTTTGTTGTGAAAGATTGAGGCTGCAGTTTGCTGACAAACAGACATTATTTCAGAAACGTAAGCTGAATTCCCCTACTATTGTCGAAGACCTAAAAAATCCCTCATGACTCACTGTTAGGATACATGTTGGAAAGAAAGTTGGTATGCAAGCCCCAAGGTATATCTATCTTACATGTAATAACTGGATTTGATTTGAAAATACCCATGACATGCAAATTCTACAGGTCATTTTAATAATTATTTCTGTTAAGTGTTTCTTTAATGGCTTTATAACTGATTCATGATTGTACGGGAGTATGAAAGCACGTATGAAATATTAATGCACGATCAACGAATGTACATTCCCTTTCAGTGTCTTGACCGTTTCGCTCATTTAGAGAGTGGCCTTCTTCGGGACAGTCAAAGTCTGTGTTGTATGAAATGGACAATTGGCATCCATTAACGATGTTTACAGGTTTACAGATTGTCTTAGCACTGCAGGGTTATTTTAACTCCTCCGGAACACACGGTTTAGTGGTTAAATCATGAAATGTATGCATCACCAAGCGCTACTTTAACACCACTTGTTACTCTGTGTTTCTCTCAGACCTCCTCCAAGACGTATTACCTGTCAGATGCAGTTTACAGTGAGGATGACCTCCAGGTTTCAGCTGACATGCAGTATCTAATAAGGTCTTATAAAATATTACTGGCAAACGATTCATGTCGTTAGTTACGATGCCAAACATAGGCGACTGAATGGTTCTGTAACAATTGTGAGAGTCTACGTTTTCATTGAATGAGTTACACTGGTTTAATAGTATTCCATATACACCACAGCGTGTCTGCTTTGTGAGGGAATATATCCCGACTTGATTAAGGTTGAGAGGGTGACATGTTCATCACTTTGCTGGAACCCACAAACACGAGCATGGTGCTGAGAGACCTGGAAACATAAAAACCAAATGGAGATATTGGTTATTACTGGCATTTGATCATTAAACCCATATCTGATCGTACAGATATATTTGCTAACAACAGACACGGGTGTGGTGTTCTCTCTTTCCCCACAGTTGTGAGTATTCTAGGATGCATAATTGTTGACATGTGACCTAGCTATTTATGTATATGTTAGTCAATGTCTACAAAACAGGGATTAATGAGAACACGAGATTAGCATCGGTATCGTTCTGTTTGAATGAATAAGTGCCGAATACCTAACAAATTCATTAATCAAAGCACAAATGACTTTATTTCAAACAGTATTAAAAACACACGATGTTCTGATGTGTCCGTGGTGGTCTATGGTTGTCTGTGGATGTCTTGTCTTCTCAATAATCCCTGTTCAACAATCAGTCAATCTGTACAATGATTGGGTTAATTAATCAGGCAATGTAGACAATGCTTGCAAATTTCAGACAGTGTACACAATGACTGAGTGAATCAGGCAATGTACACACTGACCGGTTATTTCAGTCATTGTACACATTGTCTATGACATATATACATTCAGATGGCTGCGGCAATGGGTACAGCTGGAATCGGACACTCGATCTGTGCTATAAGGTCCACACAGACTCACCCAAATCATGGACGGATGCAGAAAACGCATGTATTCAAGATGGCGGACATCTTCTTAAAGTTGACAACCTCGACACAAATCTACTAATGAACCACTTTGTTGAAAAACTCGGTAAGTACATATTTATCTTTGCAGTAGTACGTCCACTAGAGTCATTTAATGTTGAAACCTTGATAAACACTTTCTGAGCAAGAGTTGTACACTACTCTTTGAAACCTTCCTAGAAAGAGCAAGCTCAAAAGCTGTGAACCATAACGCAAGTTCCATTTACAAGTCAGTTGTCAGTCTGTTTGTTGTTTAACGCTACACTCATCAATATGCATGCCATAATTATGGAGGCTGTCCGTAAGTAATTGAGTCTGGACAAGACAATCCAGCGATCAACAGTATGAGCATTGGTCTAAGTGACGACTAGGAGATGTGTGCTACAATCTGATTAGTTGACAAACGCATGTGATCAGTTACCAACTTTTTTTGTCAATCGGTCAGTTTCGGTTACGATGAATCTATAATACATGGCTTAAATATTATAAGAACAAAGAACATTCAGGTAAAATGGAAAAGATTGTCTTACACGGTGTAACGACGTGCTGGCTTTCCACCTTGAGGCCATTGATCCCCAGAGTGAGGTCATAGCTGTCTCACAACAGTGACAGTTCACATAGAACGACTGTACTTCTGAATATTAAAGATATCCCTGTATATGGTTTATAAGTGTCCCAAAGCTTGCATTTACATCATTAAACCAGAGTATTTTGGTGTACTGTCAAAGGTTAATGATCTTCAAATCGTGAAATAAACCGTTTGACAGTGCACACGCGACTTCAAAAAATGGTTTTCTACTTTCTGGTCATTCATAAAAGAGTGGTATATTGTAAACAACTTAATAATGACCACATTCCAACCCTATAGAATGAATTCTACCCACACTGAATCAGTCCATCTGACCAAATACCATGTGTTTGTGTGCTATGGCTCGTTGAAGGACTTCAGTCTTGTGGGTTCAGTCGTATGTTTTTTCAAAATGTATTGACTTTTAACTCTGAAGTGTTGTCTGCTACTATTTAATTCTAGGTACGCCTTTCTGGATTGGCGGCACTGATATACAAGAGGAGGAACGTGGATGTGGGCAGACAACTTTTCAATTCGAACGTTTTGGTGGGATACTGAATTAGGTGAACCAAATACAGGCGTGGACCATCGCTGCCTCCTCATCTACAACGATGCTGAGCATGCTGTGAACAAATGGCACGATAGTACCTGTGCCTGGGCTATAAGTTATGTGTGTCAGCTACCAGTGGAACCAACTCGATGCTGATTGTATATACACTGAAGGTGAAAAGAAGTATCACGTGTTTGTGTTATATATTGTTAAAAACTGAAAGAAGCTTTTTAAGGTTTTTTATTGACTGTTGATATTACTATTGATATTGATGTTCTCCGATCCCATCAACAGCTGTGTATAATGCGAACTTGTTTTCATTTTTAAAGGTCTGAAATTTTGTTATACTACTTTTAACATAAACGTCAGCTGAGTGGTTCTTTCAGTTTAAATGGAGCGTAGCTGTTTATTAATTAGTGATGATAAGTTATGCATGTTTTAGTTATGTAAGTTTCTATTGTATCATTTTACCTGTTTTGATCTTTTAAAATTCTGCGGTGTTACAATACTTACATCAATGCGTAGTGGCTTTTCAATGTTTTACCAATTTCAGTGTAGAGAAAATAAAGATAAAGAAATCGTAATGTTCTTGTTTCACGTTAGTAAGTGGCTCTTGATATATGCTTTTCACATTATCAAAACATTATGTTCCGGAATCAACGGATTCCAGTGGTTTCTCCGACATTATACGTGGTATATTTGTTAAATAATGCTTCTATAATGACCTGAAGTTGCGTCAGTTATCGTTGGTGACAATACACGTTCAGAATATTCCGTATTCTGGTACGAACGTTCCCTGTACAGGTTCATACTTGCCTGCCATCCTAAAGTAGCAGAAAACAGAGTATCGGTATCTTGTGCTGGGGACATATTCTAACGGAATCCCAAAGGGATAGCCACATTCCTGTCATTTAGCAAAGTCACGAGTTTCTTTCTGTATCAAAACTCGCCACGATTATTTCAATTTGGATGACGTTCCTTATGGTATACAATGGTATACAAGTTTCACAAGATTGTTTTCATACTGAATTCTCAATGTCTGCCTATGAAATGGTCACTCGTGTCTGTTTACTGTGAATGGCCAACTGATTAAAACACATATCCATGTCCCTGAACAGTGCACATTTCTGAACATGGTAGCATTTGAAGACGACCGCTGCAGTCAGAATCATCTGTGCATGTTAGGCTCTCGGGAGCAAAGAAAACCTTGCAGTAGCTCTGATGTCATCTCTGCAAAAAGTACACTAGATTACACAAGGTTACACAAGATTACAAGATTTTCAACATCTTCATGCCACCCACAGGAGATCCAGGTACTGGATTTCCAATATGGGAAACTCTGATTTGCCAACATGCACTTTTTCATGTTGTGTGAAACTATGGAGGCAGTGTGCAAGGCATAGACAATGTATGAAACACGTATATCTTTGCCCTTGAAGTCTTCCCTTGGGATCATATACTTGGTATACAACTATAGCTGCTGACAATGCTTCTTCTGAATAGGATCCTGCCATTGAAGACAACTGAACTGATATGTTTGACAGTTATCGGTGGGATACTTGTCTTCTTTCCAACCACAAAGACGGTTCAAGTGCTATCGCGTCCAGTTAAAGTGTGGATACTTGGAATTATTTGACGGAGAAGATTTGATACTGCATTGCAGAATTTGTAAACATGTATGAAGGGCGTATGGTATCTTTCGCTTGTTCAGTTTCCCATTAATCTGCATTTGGCACTTGGATTTTGACTTATGTATATCATTGTTCAATGACTTTCAGAAAGGTGATGATTTTAACCAAACTTTTATTAGTTAAGACCTTCAAATTCTCTCATTAAATGTTCTTTCCAATCAGCCGTTGAAGGGGAACAGGTATTATTTGAAAATTTACATATACAGATACCCAAAAGAAGCGATACCACGTGTCTGGAAAAAACATTAAACTCTTTCCATTTCATGGCTGTTTTTAAGCAAAATATATTTTCCAAAATCTGTATTTTTGCCGCTGTTGCGGTAATGACATTTTGATTTGAAGTTGAAACGTCACAATAAATGTTATGTAAAATTCTTGTCCACACTTCTCTCCTGATGCAATATTCAAATCATACAAACCAAAGTCATTTACATGAAGACATAAATACCATAAATACAAATACAATTTTCTTAAGAGCAAAAGCTGAAATTGCCCTTTTCCATAGAATAACCCATTAGCTCGCATCACTTCTATACATAGTAATAAGATAATACAATCTACAATAAAAGCAGAGAATGAAAGATTCAAGAACAAATTAAACCAAAAAAGATTAATGTTTACTAAAAACTGTCAACTAAACAAACAAAGGACAACTCACTAAAACAATTTTAATCCATTGTGATCAAAAAGGTGCCGCTTTTTTGAAAAAACGGTATTGATTCCCTTACTCATTGTGGCTTTCGCGGCACCGAGGTTTGTACTTGAAATGTGGCTTTAGCGGCAACTGGTATTTTTCAGATATGGCTTTCCCGGGCGGACACCGCTCATAATATAGACGGAATTGTACAAAGCGGTTTTAGCGGAGATATCTTATGGATGTTCAACGGGTTATGGCGCTTTTATAAATAAAAACATTTCTTCCTATATCTAACAAAACGAATATGATATTTAAAAACAAATTGATTATTTAAACACAAGACTTGTTTATCAATTACATAACTAAGAAACCTAATAAAAACACTTTACTAAAATAAACATCACGTTTACACATACATGGCATAAGTTTCCAGATTGTTTGCCTAATGCCTCGGCAATCTATTAAAAATACACGTATGGATATTGTTTCCCAAACTCAATCTGTAATCACAGCCTTATTTCAACAAACACTCCTCAAACACCGATTGCCAGCATTCATCCACTGACCTTCCCCACGCCGAACACATTTAGGACGCCATTGGCAGACGAGTACGTCAACGTCAAAGTCCATCCACCACACCTTGACGATGTACAAATTTCGAATTTGATTCCGACATTTCAGCATACCAACCGGTGGAACTAAATTGATCTCATCGCCTATCCCCCCAACAGATATGATCAAATTTCTTCCATTTGCCAAAACAATATGGATCCGCTGGACTTACAGGCCCCTTATCCCAATCCATTACACAAGACATCTACTCCATATTGGATACCGGTCACAATTTGTTAGATGCTAGTCACCTAACAGCAGC